CAAAAGTTAACATGGAACTAAAGACCCACTGTGCTAGCCTAACACAGTTCTTGACAGGTCATGGACCATTCCCAGTATACCTGAACAGATTCAGACTTAGGGATACTCCTTTCTGCGAATGCGGAGAGGAAGGCGACACGGACCATTATTACTTATTACTTCCATTGTGTACATATAAGAACCTGGCACTTGAAGAAACCAGCGGACTGTGCCTGGGCAATGTGGACGACTAACACACTCAAAAACAGAATAGCCCTTGATAAAATAGAGAAAATCTCAGGACACTGCCTAAGCAGAAACAACCGTGGATAATATTATAATGTTTCAAAAGTTCAGAACTTAAAGCAGATAACCAGAATAACGCTTAGTGCCTTGCAGTTAACAATATGTAAAAACTGTTATTAGTTTATAATATTCAACCTTGTTACTCTGGAGTCTTCTCCGCCGTGATGGTATATAATTCCGTTTGGTTCATGTCCGTGGTCGGAAGCCATCATAGCGGTGCACTCACTCACTCACCTTATATACTCCTCTTTTTAAAGGGCAACTAGGGTTTTAGGGAACCTAGTCGCCAAATCCTGGGTGCGGAGAATCATCATCCACAACCCTTTTTATTTAGTTCGGGCGCCACTTGTAGAGTCATTAGGTTTATTTGAAGCAGAAAAGATGAAAAATATGCAACCGCCTTCGCCGGGAATCGAACCACGGACTCTGGAATACCGGCCCAGCGTGCTGCCGTTACACCACGAAAGCCGGAGAAATATCTTATATACTCCCCTTAAAAAGCCGGAGAAATATCTTATATACTCCCCTTTTTAAAGGGCGACTAGGGTTTTAGGGGACCTAGTCGCCAAATCCTGGGTGTGGAGAATCATCATCCGCTATCCTTTTAGTTCAGGCGCCACTTTAAATACATTAGAATTTTTTTGAAAGCAAAAAAGATGAAAAATATGCAACCGCCTTCGCCGGGAATCGAACCACGGACCTCTGGAATACCGGCCCGGCGTGCTACCATTATACCACGAAGGCATGCTAGGGAAGTGGGAGAAATACCTTATAAGGTAAAAAAGTCATTTACCCCCCCCCCATTGTATCAGAAATAACTCAACATAAAATTTCGAGCTTTGTATGTCAGTCTCGTAAAAATATCTAAATCTCAAGAAAGCCATCACATGTGAAGCGTAACTCTGAACAGGTGGAGGCATGTAGTCCATTAAAACATGATGTTCAATCATCAGTGCATAGTGCAAAACAATAAATTCCAGTAATAGGTCGATAATTATGTATGCGCTTCAAAGTTAGATGTAAGGAAGCAACTTTGAGAAAGTATGTCTGCAGAGATCTCCAAGCGTTGAATACCACGTTTAGTTTCTGAAGCGTAAAACCACCCATCTCAGCTAGACAATTGAAGCCTTAACGCTTGGTGAAGCAGAGAATACACACAAAGAACGCTTGAGCAAAGGTGAATGCGGGCATGGTCCAGCGATTCAGTTTTTACGTTGTTCGCAGCAAATGGATGTGCGCCAAGTAAAAAGAAGAAACTCGTCAGCACATGGGGATTTAAGTCTAACTTCAATTCTCTTTAGCAAATTCGTGAAACAGCAGTTCTCTCTAATGATCTACTTTTAGGAGATGGCCTTGTAACGTCAGGACACCCGTGTCGGGTGAAAGAAAGACAGGTTGTCTTTTAAATTATTTATTTGATAAACTAAAATAGATTTCTTGATTAAAACATAAAAATAAACTGATCATTACAGCCCTAAATCATACAATATCCGCTAACGCAGATTGGACGCAAAAAAGCGTCCTTTTTACTGTAGTTACAGCATAAAAAAAACTATTGTTCTACAGAAACCAACGTAAAAAATGCGTCCTGTCACCTCAAAATCACATGAAGAACTCTTACGCAAAGATTTCACTCGTTTTGTTATCTGCGAAGAGAAACATAATTAGTTCCTTGTGTCCGGAAACTCCCAGGGGGTTTTATCTGCAGTCCTGCTTTTTGCAGGTATCGTCCATTTCGTCCGCGAACAAACAGGAAGTTATAATTCAGCACCTGTGCCCGCGGGGGTGCTAGTAGCTGTATCGTCACAACCTAAACGACGTCTGCCAGTACCGCTGTTTAGCTTACAATATAAGATCTAAGCCAAAGCGAGTTAGATCTAGGTCTTACAAATGAGCCGGGCGACTTCTCACACAAGCGGGAAATAACACCAGCACAGAAGAAGGGTAAAAATAACCCTTTATTATTTCCAACTATGACCAAAAAGGCACGTACTTCGCGTTTTACAATAACACCGACAACTTCCGATGGAACTTAAGAATCGTTACACAAATCAGTTCAAGTCTAAAAAGAGTAGTGTTGGACTTGCACCTTAAGTTACGGCTAATTAGGTTGAATCGACAACTTACCAGGCGGGATAATTATTCAAATGGCCGAAAGGCCCATCAGCAACTCCACGTAACAGCAAGGTCAGAAACGAAACGCGCGTTTAAACACTCACATAACTTTGAATTAGCATTCTGGCGAGGAAATGTGAGGAGAAGTTGAGGAGTTTAGGAAAGATGACGAAAATTTGAATAATTGATTATTTGAACTAAGGGAAACCCTACAACATGTGCATTCTTTAGTGCGCCATGTAACACCATTACGGGCGTTTTCTGAATGTTGACGGTATTATATACGAAGTATTGTAATGAATTTTATAGGTAGATATATAATTCTAGTAAAATTACATGTGAAAATGTTGTATTTTTCTACATAATGTAACATGAAAAGCTTAGAGAAACGATGCTTTGCCGGAAAATTAAGAACACAAGGGCAAGTCTATTTAACATAGAGTACATGGCTAAAATACTAATTTGGCGAGATGTTGCCAAATTGGCAACAATTTTAAAGCCTGAAATTTCGCCAAATTTGGCGAGAAATTGCTAAACATCGTCAAATTCGGCGAGAAATCGCCAAAAGTCGCCAAACTTAACCATTTGACGACATTTGAGTCCGGTCCCTGTATAACTGTAATGAATATTGTAATTGAGTAAGTGTAATTAATGCTTTTTGTAACTGTAACCGTATTCGGTGCACCTATGCCTTCCGGTAATAAGTACTAGAAATATCTCGGCGGCTGGATGAAAACTATATAAGACCGGAGACAACATCAGCAGTTATCTCCGGTCAGGAGTAATAGTTGTAGTTCAGATATAGATTTTGAGTATTGAGATAACCGTGAGAGCTTCGCCTTTTAGATTCGCTTTGCATTCCGTTGTGTTTAACGTCCTTAGTAGTTTAAAGTGTAATTACTGATGGTACTCTGTGATACTGGGAAGCGCTGTAACGAGTAATTTTGTGGAAAGCTCGACAATTGTGAAGTGTTTCTTTTAGTAAAATAAATTTTATCAAGCTATCATCAATTCTATGCGCATTCAATCTATGTATTACGAACCTGTACACACGCAACAGTGTGTATGATCTGAATAATACTTAGATTTCGTAATATATGCGATGTTTTTGTCGAGTAGCTTTGAAGAGAGTTTTTAACTATTTTTGGGAAAGCTAGAAGTACACAGCTTTCAAGTGCAAGTATTCGAGTACAACTCTGCTGCCGAAATGTTTCTTTACTTTTCTGAAACAGGCTGTGTTTTATACGATAATCTGCTTTCAGTAAATAATTTAGTTTTTTTTTAACAATATGATGATTTTTTATTCATTATATTTTTAATTTAAAATATTAATTTACTCATTAGTTACATTCGATTTTATATTTGACATTTTCCCCGATCAGGAATATAATCATAAGATTCAAGTTGATTTGAATTACCTGCATTTCTTATGGTGTCTGAAGTTGGAAACTGAAACTAGTTGGCCACATAGCATTCGAATAAGATGCATTTTGCCATGCCCGGTACAAGAATTTATCACGCGAACTTTATTTATTGAATACTATGAAGTGCATCATCACAGATTACTGTAGAGTCTAAAATTTTGTCTCTAATCTTTTTCATAATGCTGCAGAAGCTGTATAATTGCAACCGAACTTTTTCGTTATATTCGGATAACAAAAGATTAATCGTCATGCCACTCTCCTTGGTAAATTTAAGATCTTCAACTAATGCTTCTACATTAGTGCCTTAGCGATTTCTCTAAAGGTGACTCTGCGATCGACCCGAATCATCATTCTGCGGTAGACAATCAGTTTGTCTTCATGGATTGAAGTTCTCTGATGCCGAAGAGTGCGTAGTTTGTTTTCAGTTCCATATCGGGCATCTACGAAAAGTCATGTATCATTCATATATTTTAGACTGGAGAAGACATACACATCCAAACTGATTTTTATATGTCAAATAGATCTGAGACGGACGGAATGACACTTTCTTCAGTGCAAAATCTAATGGCCATTCGTTGCACAAACACATCTGTTAACCTTCTACTTTGACATATTGATTGCATTTAACAAATCTGATGGAAAAAGAATGGACACTACTGTTGATAAGTTGAAACATTTATTATGTTGACCAGATGAGTCATGGTTATGTCGATATATGGTTATGTTGCGAAAACGGAGCGGGAAAATTCCTGTTTATACGAAAGCCTCTTGTGCATGTGCTTTTACTTACTCATAAGTGGATGCATCTTAAACCCATGTGGTTTAACAGATATTGATACTAGACCATTTGGAACTCAGTCTGATAGGTCTACGAGGAAATGATTGCGTCAGGGTTTGTGTAAACTTATGTAACTGCCATGCAAGAGCATTTTGTAAATTTTAAACTGCATGTAAAGAATTAGCCTGACGTTCAGTGCTTATATCTAAACGAATATTTATGCCACAGTTTATGTTATTTAAATGTTCCTTGCACAGAAACACTATCTGTAATTGCTATATCTAAAATAGATAACTACATATCCTCTATGCAGTTCATAGATCAACTAAAATTTGTTATGAATCCATGAGAAAAAAAATTTTATCATGCCCAAAGTTGTCATGTGTGTGACTGCTTACCTGAAAAGTATGCGAAAGTTGCATTATGAGGTATTCCCTCTTCCATGAGTCCGGCCCTAAGAGGTCTCATCGCCCTCCTGGGGTTTCGGAAGAAGTGTCTCCTGGCCCCGAGACTGCTCAGCTGCTTCATCCGTCTTTCTTTTGACCGTCGGTTCTGGAACCACACCTATAACGGGGATGAAAGCAAGTTTAGAACAAGAATATGATTTTGCTCGCATACAATGGCTGATAGATAACTAAATATATTGTTGTAGTAAAATTAAATGAGTCTATTTTTCACATGCGGGCTCTCTTTATTCAACATATATCTAAGCTTTTAATGAAGCGTCTGTATATTTTTCTTTGTAAACGAATATTGATTATAATGACCACTCTCATAAGAATTTTTCTTTACCTGAATAACGTAAGCAATTAAAAAATACGGATGTTAGAATTTATTTCGGGCATCATATTAAAATGCAAAAATTTCAGATCTTTCGAAGACTTTCGAATGTCACTTTAAAGATTTACTCGAAAATGTAGGAAATGTTTTTAAAACTTAACCCTTTGCGGCAGTGTGTCTGGTCTGGACACACCTAAACATTTCCTTCTGTACGCACAGAAAAATTGAATGAAAAAGGATTTATAGGTTACTCTGAATCTTCTTTATTTATAGTAGATGGCAGCTCAATACAAACCAGTCCATATATTTTAGCCATGTTTAGTTTTATAAGACCCTCGTTTTTCAAAGAAATTTTCCAGATTTTTTTAGGGTATAAAAGGAATTGTTTGAAAAGAAAATTTATATGTTATTTTTTGGCTGTATGCTAATCTCCTTATTCTATATTAGTTTTAAATTTTTACCTCGAAATCTTGCCTAAAATCAAACGGTGAACCCTAGGTGTGCCCAGACCGGGCTCTCTGATCATATAGGACAACTGAGATTTTGTATTCTTTGTTTCTCCGCATCTCGTCGGTCAGTTCATTGACAACAATGCTCGTTTCAGCACTCTTTTCCAAGCTCTATTCAATCAGGGTACACCCACAGCTCTATTCAATTCTCTTCGGGTACACCCACAGAAATAAACGATAAGTGCTATCTTCACAAAATTTTACTTGTGTACTCTTCTAGGTCTAATTAGACTGCCTACCTTTTTTTTTTTTTTTTTTTTTTTTTTTTTTTTTTTTTTTTTTTTTAAATCAAAACTCCGACTTTAAAAGGTAGCGCGCCGGAAAGGGTTAATTATACCAAGGTTATAAAAGTAATACTAAAACTGTTTCAACCTTGATTTTCCTTTTTTCTTTTTATTTTACGTATTTCATTAAAAATAAAGAATATTCTCAGTGATCGTTAGCTTCGTTACCGAACAGTTGCCAAAACTTGAATATTTCACAGTTAGAATATATTTTCTGTTATTTGATGGAGCATGAAGGTGATATATAGTAGCATTCAAAGCATGCTAATATTTGCTGTTTTCGAACAGAAAATTGCAAAGGTAAGTAAGTGTACAAGATGGCAGGTTCATTAAAATTAACAGCCTTTAAAGTTTCAACAATAACAAAACTTCTTAGGAAATATTTTGGAAACAACACAACAGTTGAAAACACCAAAGAAAATATAAGAAGGATCATGCTTTATGAACTAAAAAACGCGCAGAAAAAATTCCCAAAATAAAAGCGAAAGATGGTAATGTATTTTGTAAAAGAAAGTGGCTAGATCTTAGCCTACATTTGTTTTGAGCCATACATAAACCTTGTTCAGTCATACACAAAACTTTGTATTAAGCAACCCACAAAATCTTGTGTGAAGGTTTTATGGATGTGAATAGCACTCGCACATACGAATAATCCTACGTTACAATAGTTACGACGTTGCTCGAATCACTAGTCACAACGACAAATAGTGAGCTGTAATTGACATCGTGCAAAAAGCAAAATTCTGGATCCTAGATCAATGGCAATCATTCTATGGACATACGAATAATCCTACTTTACAAAAGTTACGACGTTGCTCGAATCACTAGTCACAACGACAAATAGTGAGCTGTAATTGACATCGTGCAGAAAGCAAAATTCTGGATCCTAGATCAATGGGAATCGTTCTATGGACATACGAATAATCCTACTTTACAATAGTTACGACGTTGCTCGAATCACTAGTCACAACGACAAATAGTGAGCTGTAATTTACATGGTGCAAAAAGCAAAATTGTGGATCCTAGATCAATGGGAATCGTTCTATGGACATACGAATAATCCTACTTTACAATAGTTACGACGTTGCTCGAATCACTAGTCACAACGACAAATAGTGAGCTGTAATTGACATCGTGCAAAAGGCAAAATTCTGGATCCTAGATCAATGGCAATCATTCTATGGACATACGAATAATCCTACTTTACAATAGTTACGACGTTGCTCGAATCACTAGTCACAACGACAAATAGTGAATAAACCTTCTGTACAATAGTTACGACGTTGCTCGAATCACTAGTCACAACGACAAATAGTTAGCTGTAATTGACATCGTGCAAAAAGCAAAATTGTGGATCCTAGATCAATGGCAATCATTCTATGGACATACGAATAATCCTACTTTACAATAGTTACGACGTTTCTCGAATCACTGGTCACAACGACAAATAGTGAGCTGTAATTGACATCGTGCAAAAAGCAAAATTCTGGATCCTAGATCAATGGGAATCATTCTATGGACATACGAATAATCCTACTTTACAATAGTTACGACGTTGCTCGAATCACTAGTCACAACGACAAATAGTGAGCTGTAATTGACATCGCGCAAAAAGCAAAATTCTGGATCCTTGATCAGTGGAAATCATTCTATGGACAGATGGTACTTTGCTAACTAAATAGCTAGCGGCGAAAGCAAATGTACTATTTCCATCCTGACTCATTAGTTTGACGAAGTTAGTGTTCATGGTACGGGGTTGCTTGTCAAAGCTTGTCCTGAGATTCATTGCTTATTATAGACAAAAACGTGACTTCTTAGCAATAACTGGCCATTTCGAGTGATAGTACAGTTCCACTATTATGGCATTTGAAGAAGACTTAAGATATACTGGTAGGATATTTCAACGTATTCACTCTATCCTGGTTGGAAAGAGTTTGACGACATGTGTAAAAGTTGGACAGACCACCCAACACGCCAGACCCGAATACTGCAGAACAGTGATTTACAATGAGGTACTTTATTAACTAAAGAAAAAGCAGCGAAAACAAATGTACTGTTGAATGTTTGTTGCATGACCGTAATGATACTACGGTCATGCAACAAGCATTCATTTTCTTGAGCTAAATGTCTTGAGCCAATAGTTGCTTCTTGAGCCAATATCTGAATGTAATTAACAATTTTTAATACTTCACAAAATTATAAAAAATAACCCTTTACTGTAATACAAATTAAAGGAGAGATAAAAGGAGTTATTAAATTCTTCAGAAAAAATATCTGTCTATCAGTGGGATTTATCATCAACCAGGACATCATAATTTAGGATACAGGATGATGGACGTTCTCATGAGTGTTCATCCAGATGTTCAACGGCCCCCCAGACGGTAATAGTGGTTAGTTAACAATGTCATTTTGTACAGGCACAATTTCTAAAATTCCGGAAGGGCCGGGGTTCGAATACCGGAGAAGGCATGGATGCTTGCAAATGTACAGTATCTTTGTGGAATGGGGGCATTCTAAATATATAGCGAACCGAAAGTGCTCTCATGTAGTTTGGTGGTAGAGGAGAGGGGTGGGAAGACCCTCGAACCACTCCCCAGGGTGCTATCTCTCGAAATTGGGGTGAGAGTAGAAATCCAACCTCCTTGGGGCTCTGACAACCATCCTTCCATGAAGTACATGGACAGGACAATACCAACAACAAGATGTTTATAACTGAGATGGGAAATCTATATTTTGAATCGATAGCTTCATTTCCAACTGCAGTGATTCGCATAAATAAGCGGAATTGAAAGTTTTTATTTTCTGTGCTGCTTTTAATGAAGGTTAAAAATGTTACTCTTCAAATAAATTTCTGAAATTCTCAGCTATCATGCAAGATTTTAAAATAACAATGTCATTTTGTACAGGCACAATTTCTAAAATACAATTCTTTTGATATGATTTCAGTCAGCATTGCTATTCATTGATTTACTTTGATCACGTTATTAAAACAATAGAAAATGATTGTTATTGAGATGACATACTATGAAAATCGAGTGCCGGCTATGAGCTCATACATGATCATACACGCAAATAAATCAGATTTATACTTCCAAAAACGCCGAGCGGGAGATCATTGTAATGAACTTTTGGAATGAACTGGACTATCAGATATGTGCATGTCAAGACTGACTAGAAACGATGCTGAATTTATGAGTTCTTTTTATAATACACATTTAAAATAAAGAATGTAATAGTTACAAAATATACAAGATTTGTACAATCATTAGACGACTATACAACTATACAATCCCGTATGGTGTCTAATACCCCTTTCGGCCTAAAGCCCTTTTGGGCTTAAAAAAATTCCGTCTGGATTTAAGTGTGTAGGTAATAACTGTATGAGAGCGCATTTAGTTTTTATTATTTTAAAGCTAATTATGATTGTAGCTATGTAAGATTGAGATGCGTACTTTGGGTTAAAGGTTCGTAAAATGGGTTTGTGCATTAAAATATTGTACTTTTGTTTAAAAAAAATCTGATGTGTACACCACATGAATATTAAATTATACACATTTTTTCTTGCATTTCATTTGAACTTATTGGATTGAATTAAATCTACTTCGCCGACAGCGCATAAACCACAATAGAATAAATGCATTCTTTAAAATTCACTCTAGTATTTGATTACCATAGCGATACACTGGCGCTAGATTCACTTAACAGTATTATATTTCGTTCATATTATAACTCATAATGCACAAAATTTATATCATTTAAAGAGCAGAATTATCTAATCGTTGCCACATGTTCTTTTCAAATACTATAATAAAGCTAGAACGATGTATAAAAGAACTTAAGCAAACGAAACAAAAAAGAAACAGTTTTTCACAGACGATTGAGTATTTCTCATTCAATTAAATCAGCTCTCACTTCACGAGAAGGCAAAAATACATAAAAACTCAAAATATCTATATTAAAAATTACGAAGTAAATCTTAA